TCTGTTGTTAAGAGACTCCTCAGAAGTTCAATTTAGATTCCTCTGTCTAGACATGGTGACAACCGTCCTACTGTTCATCTCTTGATCTTGGGTATGGTGACCACCTATTCTGATGACAGTCTTGTCTCAGGCTTGTTGCTTTCCAGACGTAGCAACACCAACCTTCCTGTCTTTAGACCATGTTTGTGCTTGTAGTGATATATATTACCATCTCTGAAGCAATTTAAGAATTCCTTTTGATTGAACCTTTTCGGGAAATTAGAAAGATTGCACAACAGTCCTCCATAAATAACACTGATGTGGCTTGATTGTTCCCAAGGAGATATAAAACGACACACCGGGAGAAATTAATTCACTTGTTAGCTGCCTGATTTATTACGGCAGAGCGTCAAAAACCGAGAGTGCATCTTTTAAAAAATCAGTGTATTTATCAAAGAACGGGAAACCTCATCAGCTCAAAAATTGTACACAGTACAAACGTACCTTGGAGTACTTGGAATACTGCATCCAGTTTTGGTCACCACTATGTAAAAAAGATGTTGAGACTCTAGAAAGAGTGCAGAGAAGAGCAACAAAGATGATCAGGGGACTGGAGGCCAAAGCATATAAGGAAAGGCTGCTGGAATTGGGTATGTCTAGGTTAATGAAGAGAAGGACGATGGGGGACATGATAGCAGTGTTCCAATATCTCAGGGGCTGCCACAAAGAAGAGGGAGTCAATCTATTCTCCAAAGCGCCTGAAGGCAGGACAAGAAGCAACGGATGGAAACTAACCGAAGAGAGAAGCAACCTAGAACTAAGGAGAAACTTCCTGACAGTTAGAACAATTAACCAGTGGAACAACCTGCCTCCAGAAGTGGTGAATGCTCCAACACTGGAAGTTTTTAAGAAGAGACTGGACATTGTCTGAAATGGTATAGGGTTTCCTGTCTGAGCAGGGGGTTGGACTAGATGACCTCCAAGGTCCCTTCCAACTTTATTATTATTATTATTATTATTATTATTATTATTATTATTATTATTATTATTATTATTATTATTATTATTATTATTATTATTATTATTATTTCATACACCTGTTCACAAGTGTTATTATTATTATGGAAATTCTTAACAAAATAAAAACCACAAGAGAAAATAAAGTTAACAAACAAGTGTAGAAAATAAGGGGGAAAGGAAATAGAAAGAAAAGAAAAAAGAACAGAAAAATGATAAAGAAACAGCTTCTAATCTGACTGACCGCAATTCATTTATATTTTGTTCTCTAAAGTCGCAATGTTCCATAAACGATCCTTTCTAATCTCCAAAGCTATAATTCACAAGTTCATTTTTCTTGGGTTTTTTTTTTCTTTTTCAGCAAAAAGTCTGTCAGGTGTTTCTGCTCTCCAATAAATGTAATTGTTAATCTTTCTCTAATCAAACAGGTTAATTTGCCATTTCTGCTAGCTCTGTCTTCTTCACCAGCCATTCTTCCATTATGGATACTTCAGAATCTTTCCCCTTTTTTTGCACATATAATAGCCTCACTGCAGTAATCATTTATAAAAACAAATCTTCCATGGATCTTTCCTGGCCGTGTTGTTTAAATACAAACTGCTTTACTGACCTGAAAAATTTACTGACAGAAAAATTTGCCGATATATTGCTCTGGTATATCTATCCAAATGTATGCCAGCTGAAAATGTTGGATAGGATGTTTAACATTTTACATCTCTCCTTAAAATCATAATTACATTTATGAAAGTTATTCTCCCAAATTATGTTTTGTTTTCTTGTTTGAATAGTTTTAATTTTTGTTGTTGTTTTTATGTTGTTTCCGATGTTTGATGTTGTGCGTTTAACTTTTCTAAACTTGAATTCTCCTTCTAACCTACAAAACGGAGCTGATCTCATATTTTGAGTTGTAAAAAGTTTTGTAAAACCATCTCAAGGAAACACAGATTTGGTCTGGAGACTTCTTGGTTGTCTCCCATTCATCCTACAGTTCATCTAATGCTTACGCTGCAGCCCTTTATTCCTTGTCGTCTGTTACAATCATGAAGATGTTGTTATATTTTTCTAAATTACCATCTAAAAGGAGCTTTTCTATCCCTTCTCCTCCTCCAAGACAGCCACAAGAATTTGGAAGAATTCTTTTCCTGTATTTTATCTGCAATTTATTTCTATACCCACCCAGAGTTGGTTATAAGATTGGCGACTATATAAATGTCATGAACGTATGTATGCATGTATGTATGTATGTATGTATGTATGTATGTATGTATGTATGTATGTATGTATGTATGTATGAATTTGATTGCTGGGATGCAACAAAGGATCATTGTCTTAACGATAGTATGTCTGCCATCAGTCAGTTCGTGGGTTACAAAGCTGTGTTGTTTGTTTGTTTGTTTGTTTGTTTGTTTGTTTGTTTGTTTATCAAATTTTGGTACCTTCCCCAAGTCACTCTCAGAGTTTTTGACAAACCAGTTAAGATTTGTTAGGAGAAAATTTTAAGGCAAAGTTTCTTCGGACCAATTCAACAGAGTTTAAAGCTGCCTTTTAAAATTCGGTGGATATCTTAAACCAAGCCTAACCGACACGTCAGGAAAAGAGTTAAAGCTTCTTGCAGACAAGGCAAAAGCTAATGTGATCCCAGGTTGCATTAACAGATGGATCGAATCCAGATCAGGTGAAGTACTAGTACTGCTTTATAAAGCCCTAGTAAGACCATACTTAGAATACTGCATCTAGTTTTGGTCACCCCAATACAACAGAGATGGTTGAAATTTTTAAAAGAGTTCAGAGAAGAGCAGAGAAGTTGATTAGGGGCCTAACCGTTGCAAGAGCTATCTCCCAGTCTAGTTAAAAGAAGAACTAGGGATGATATGATAAAAGTATTCCAGTATTTGGGGGGCTGCCACAAAGAAAAGGGGGCCAACTTATTTTCCAAAGCGCCTGAAGGCAAGACAAGAAGCAACGGATGGAAACTCATCAAGGAGAGAAGCAACCTAGAACTAAGGAGAAACTTCCCAACAGTGAGAACAATTAATCCATGGAAGCGCTTGCCTTCAGAAATTTCAGGTGCTCTTGTGGCTTTTAAGAAGAGACTGGACAGCCATTTGTCTGAAATGGCCTCCTACTTGAACAGGGGGTTGGACTAGATGACCTCCAAGATCCTTTCTAACTCAGTTACTGTTACTGTTACTAACTCCATTAGGTTTGTTTTTAATGGAGCCCACGTTACCTGTCCCATTGTGTAACCAAAATAATGAATTTCAGCCCTTCCGTGTGTCTTCCCTTCTTCACAAATCTTGTTTGTCGTTAGCAACGCTATGCCTCCGTCAAGGCTGATTTTACTTTTCTGCATTTAAAAAAAAAAACTGTCTTCTTTTTTTTTTTTTAGCTTCCACCATCAAGCTTCGACTTCCGTCGCCTACCAGTCCCAGAAGAGGTATCTCACTCAAAGCTTCTCGCTTTTCATTTGACCGCTGATCATTAGTACAGCATTCATGCACTCCTTACCTGCTGCGGCTTCGTTTCTCTGACAACTAATAGTTTCCAAACTTAATTCTTGCTTGCCCCGCAGTCACATCATCGCCCTGCTTTGAGTCTTTCCGAGCTGGCCTGACAAAGCACCGTCAGCTCCTTCCACATCTCTAATTTTCTCCCGTTGGAATTTAGATGGATCTCTTTTTTTTTTTTTTTTTTTTTTACAGCCCAGCTCAGATCTTTTATTAATGAAGGACTGTGCTGTTTTCTCTCTTTCAGGAACCTCTGCATTTTCACCCTGAGACATTCTAATCTGCCCTTCCTGTTTTACTGTCTGCTTCTCAAAGTTCATTGTGTATATATATATATACACTCTGTGTGTGTGTGTGTGTGTGTGTGTGTGTGTGTATCTATATATCTATATCCAGTGCTTTTTTTCTTAAAAAAAAAAAAAAAAAGGTGCCGGAACTCACACACGTCATACAACCCGCCTTGCCTACCCTATAAGGTTCCATCCAAAAAAGGTGCCGGAACTCCGTTCTGGGCGTTCTATGAGAAAAAAAGCCCTGTGTATATCTGTATCTGTATCTGTATCTGTATCTGTATCTGTGTATCTGTATCTGTATCTGTATCTGTATCTGTATCTGTATCTAGATATAGATATAGATATAGATATAGATATAGATATAGATATAGATATAGATATAGATATAGATATAGATATAGATATAGATATAGATATAGATTACTGTGTGCGTATATATATATACTGTGTGCGTATATATATACTGTGTGCATATATATATACTGTGTGTGTATATATAGATATATAGATATAGATATAGATATAGATATATAGACATAGACATAGATCTTTGGTTATTCGGGTTTTCTCCCACGTAAAATAACCAAAGACCTACATACAAACACCCGCGAAAACCTCAGAAAATAGACATAGATATAGATATATAGACAGACATAGACATAGACATAGATAGACATAGACATAGACATAGACATAGATATATAGACATAGATATAGTAGGAAACAAGATGTGAGCACCAGGAGGTTGTAAAACAGTTAAAAGTTTTAATAAAACATTAAAAACCTTTAAAAGAATATTAAAAAGGACCTAGCTTTCGTTGGATCCTACCAACATCGTCAGGGTAAAGAATAACTCAATGGGAGAAACCATTTATAGGCCAGCCAACGCCTGCGCCCGGGCCCTAGATCTCGTGAGTCACTCGTTTGTCTTCAGTGTTATTTTTAAACATAGATATAGATATATAGACATAGACATAGATATAGATATATAGACATACAGTAGATATAGATATATAGACATAGACATAGACATAGATATAGACAGGGCTTTTTTTGTCATAGAACGCCCAGAACGGAGTTCCGGCACCTTTTTTGGATGGAACCTTGTAGGGTAGGCAAGGCGGGTTGTATGACATGTGTGAGTTCCGGCACCTTTTTTTTTTTTTTTTTTTTTTTTACAAAAAAAGCACTGGATATAGATACACACACAAACAGTGTACATTATTCATCTATTTTCACCATATATATCACCTTGAAAGAGTATTTACAACTAAATTCTTGGCCTGAGATTCTAGAAAGAATTCTAGAAAGATCTAAACCCAGGGTCTCCCAGGCTAGGCCCAAACCATCTCTTGATGCTTCAGGCTTTGGATGGGTCTCCTGGCCTTCAGCCAATCGGCTTCCTCTACAATGGAAGAAAAGCAACTTCCAAAGACGATGACTCTGACACCAGGTCCTCTTTTTTTCCTGGATGTGAAACAATAGCATCCTCAGTCTTGGCAAAAGCGGGGACATCAGCCCTTCAACAAGAAGCTGGAACAGTTGGGATGTCTTCTTAAGACCAAAAGGCTGCTAGATCTAGAACGTTTTCCCTCCACTGGTCATCCTGTCGAAGGACATTTTTAGAAGATTCCTCTTGGTGTATCCACTATATTGCTCTCTCCCGCGCACACCAGATTTCTTTCCATGGGAATCAAGGCCAGGATAAGACCACCAGGGTTGTCTTCTCTGATCTCTGAAAACTCACCCTCTTAACCAAATAACCTTGGAGCTGGTTTTGCGGATGTGCACTCTACAAAATAGGCTAACAGTGCCCTAAGCGTTTGATTTCTCCTTTTTGAAAGTTTTCCCTGTTCTTTCCGATAAAAAAAAATGGAAAGTGCGTATTAACTGTGTTAGGCTTCTAGGTGGTAGCATCTCTCTGCTTTCTTCTGGAGCTTCCAAGGAAGAGTTGTCGCCTTGTATGGGGGGGACCCTCATTCTCCAGCTGTTTGTTCTGTCTTCTGACGAATGCGTGATCTGCTTTGGTTTCAGAGGCCAAGCCTACAGCTCAGCTGTAGCTCCCCATGGCCCAACGCCTTACACAGGCTACAGTGAAGCCCCAGTGCCTGCTCCGAAGCCAAGGGTTGTAACCACTGCCAGCATAAAGCCCTCGGTCTATCAGCCAGGTAAGGGGATTTTCCTTCACCGCATTCAGTAATGCTCATTAACAACAAGGACAACAACAAAAAGCTTTCAGAAGAAGAAAGCATAGTTACTCCTTGCTTAAATTAACAACTACTCATTTGGCAACCATTCAAAGTTACAGTGGTGTTTTTTAAAAAGTGACTTCTGAACAATTCTCGAATTTACCACCATTGCAGCATCCCCATGTCATGTCCCAGAGGTGCTTTTTCACGAGGCAACTGATCCGTAAGATTATGTGGGACACTACACATCCTCTTCACGACCTGTTTTCCTTGTTACCTTCTGGGAGGAGGGGGCTCCGTGGTATCCTTAGTAGAACATCTGGATTCAGCCATAGTTTCATTCCATACAGCATTAACCTTGTGAACTCTCAAGCTTCCTCCTTCCGTTATGTATTCAAGATGGACAGTATTTAACATTTATTTGCTACGTATACGTAGGGAAGTGGGTCTATACATATGTTGTTCATAGTATGTTTAGGTGTGTGTCATGTATGTGTTTCAGTTTGCATTAACCTTGTGAACTCTCAAGCTTCCTCCTTCCGTTATGTATTCAAGATGGACAGTATTTAATATTTATTTGTTGTGTATATATAGGGGTGTGGGTCTATACATATGTTGTGTATAGTATGTTTTAGGTGTGTGTCATGTATGTGTTTCACTTTGAGAGCAGGCAACTAAATTTCATTTTTGATGTGTGCCGTTGTGCCCACAATAAAAAAAATGACAATAAAGGTTATCTTATCTTATCTTACTTTCTTTTTACTCTTTGAAGACGTTTTGCTTCTCATCCAAGAAGCTTCTTCAGCTCTGACTGGATGATGGGGAAATGGAAAGATTTATACTCCTTGCAGATAGCTGGTCATTTGCATTATTTTAGCAAGTTATTGGTGCCACCTGGAGGCTTATATGTGTCATCAGGATATAAGATAAGCCTCCAGGTGGTATCAACGACTCTCTAAAAGAAGGCAAATGACCAGCTGTCTGCAAGGAGTATAAATCCTTCCATTCTCCAACCATCCAGTCAGAGCTGAAGAAGCTTCTTGGATGAGAAGCGAAACGTCTTCAAAGAGAAAAAAGGAAGTCCAGTTGCCTCATGAAAAAGCACCTTTGGGACAACCCTGACCTGGATGACTGAGAATCTCTGTAGACATCCCCATGTCCTACAATCATGGGCAACTATTGCTCCTTTACGATGCTCATAGCATCCTGTGTCATATGATTTGCTATTTATCACCCTCCCAGCCAGCGTCTGACGAACAAAGTCAGTTGGGAGGCCATCAGCAAGTTGCAGTCATGTGATGTCTCACTGAATAACAACAAGGAACTCAGTTAACAATCATGAGAAATGTGTCATAAAATTGGGTGCGGTCACTTAACAACCGGGCTTCTTAACAATGAATTTTCCAGTCCTTATTGTAGTTGCAAATCAAGGTCTACCTCTATGTTAATTCCCCCCCCTTCGATTGGATGGATGGCTCGTTGTTGTTTTTTGAATAAACTGCAGAAAGCTTTTTTTAGATATACTTTTATATATTATAAAGTTGAAGTTTCCTTAAAGTTAAGATCCATTTCTTTTTTTATATACATGTAAACAAGTTTTATTGGTTTTTTAATTTTACATCAAAGTGCTCAAGAAACACCGTGGTGATGGGATAATCAATCATCCAGAAACAAAATCAGACCTATATAACTCAAATTAATTCATTAAAGGATCCCTCTCTATTTCCCTCAAATAGTGTAACATATTTAGGTTAATCCATTTCTACATGAAATTCAATCAATCAAAACAATCATCAATAGCATTACATCGATGTAAATTCCAATCCTGTTTTAAAGCTTAACTAATTTACAATTACCATATTCCAATTTAATCTTAAATAAACACATTATTAGCACTTCGGGTATCCCTTCTAAAAAAACGCATAATATTCCGACAGTAACATTCTAATATTTCCAGATATATTCTATTTCTTAAGCTACTAAATCATTAATTAGTACCATTTCTTCTCTTATCACGAATCTCTTGTTCTTCTTCTATTACAAAATCATTATTCTACTTAAAATAAAAATATTACTCTACCCTATTTTAAATGTATAATCTATCAATCAATCTATTTCTATATTTGAAAAAAAGTCATTTCAGCCCATTAGATTACATTTAAATCTCATCCAAATCAGCAAAAGTTAAGATCCATTTCTGATAACTTCATGAAGATGCGTGTGGTTTCCATGGGAACAATGCAGGAATTTTTGCTAGTGCCCTCAGCTAGAAAGTCTTTTTATGTCCCAATCTGGCACACGTATCTCAGATTTTCTGGTGATAGCGTGCTAACTTTTTCTTCAGTCAGCCAAGATCAGCCCTGACCTGGTTTATAACTGAAATTGAGCCGTGAGATCCTGGGGTCCAAAAAAACAGAAAAAGATTCTGGAATCTGGTTTAATCTTGCCCTGGAATGAGGGAAAATGTGACGAGTGGACAGCTCTGTCTGCCAGCATTTCCTGGCACCAAGAGAAGGATGCTACACCTCTGAAGAGGACAGAGCTTTATAAAACAACAGCCACGGGCATCCATTCATTTCTCATTAACCTAACAAGCTGCTTTCCTGTATAAACACAGTTGGGAAAATTCTGCATTCCGCCACTGAAGTCAGGACGCAGCCTTAGCACTTGCTGAAAACAACTTCACGCCCTCCTTTTTCTGGAGATAAACCAGAAGCATAGTCCTAATTTGCAGGATTCCAGTTCTCCAAAATTGTCAGCAGATGGCATGATATTCTAGGTTTCACCCCCACAATTGCCTCTATGTCTTGAGAATAAGCTCTTTCTGTTCCTAACAAGCAGAAAGGCCAGTCCAGATGTCTACAAGCATCTGTATGGTACATTCCTTTCATTATGATGGTGTCCCAGAAGAAGACTTAAGCCTTTCCATGTTCTATAGAAGTCCTCACCAGAATAAAACAACAGAATCCAGATATGGTGGGATGAGCTTCACTTAACAATTAGGATATTACTTTTTTGAATGCTGTATTCTCTTAGTCGTTCATTGTTTTTTTTTACTGTCTGAAATTCAGCCACACACCTAGGAAAGTACAGGTGTATCTGCCGTCTTTCTTCTTGAGATGCTCAAGATTATTTATTTCTATATCGTTTTCACCAAGATAAAGATACCAAAGCAACTGGAACATTCGAGCTAGCGTTCTGATTAAACAGCAAGATATTTGCCTCCAAAACTTTGAGTGACTTCATCTAAGACATCAGGAACTTGGGAGCAAGGAAAGGCCTCCATTTATAGATTTTTAAAGTTTTTTTTTTTTAATATATTTGTACGAAGGAATGAGGCCTTGGGCTAAGGTGGGAATGGAACGAGGCACTGGAGCTGGTATGAAGGAACGGAACAAAGCTAAACCGGAAATTAAAAGAAAGTTTTCCTTTAAACATAAAACAGAAGGAAGACTAGAGAAAGGCAGCGTTCCAAAATTTATTATTAAAAGCTATAACAGGCAGTCCAGGATTAGTTTGCAAATTCTCTTGTCTGTTGGAGCTGATGAAGTCTAGAAAGCTGGGTCTGATTTTTGAGTCCAGCTTTCTGCTTACTACTGAATTTGCCACACAATCTCTACTTCATTTCACTAGGGAAGAATCAGTCATTTTCATAAAACATGGGTCTACTTAACCATTAGCCAAAGGGAGCCTCCATGTTCAGGGTGTCATGGTTCCAACAGATGAAACTCTTCAAAGAACTTCGAGACATACCTTAGAGAACGTACATAGTCCAAGCCAAAATCTGACTTCCCCTCCCCTAAGCACGTAGTATCAAAGCACAATTCCCTCCTCTAACTAACGTTCATAAATCACATTCTCCAATTAGTTTGAAATGTTGGCTTTCCCACCAGTTCTTCATCCCGCCATGTCTTATCATCTCTTATTACAAAAAAACCTTGGTTCCCACCCTTATACAGTGTTGTTATGTCTAACTAAACTCCCATGCACATTCCTCCTCCTCCTCCCCACCCCAGTATCATCTAATTCTAACTCTAAGAGTAAAACATAAAATAGAGGAAAATGGCTGCATCTCCATCTGTTGTCAAAGCAAGAACATCCGATGTTAGCAGCGTTGACACAGGGGCTATGTTGTATCCAACTTCCAGCATGTAATGGAAGAGCGTTAGTCCTTTCAAGGTAGATCTAGTTAGGAAACCAGAGATATGAATGCTAATATTACGTTGATCTTCATGAGAACTACGGAAGATCAAGTCAGAGGTGCTTTCTCAGTTCTAGGCCGGACTCAAATTTCTTTTATCGGTTGTCTTTGTTATAGTTCTTCCTTCTGTTCCTTGAGGTTATTCCCTTTGCCCATTACATTAGGCCACCTCTTTGGATGCAGGTAATCCTCGACTTACGATCATAACTGAGCTCAAACCTTTTGCTAAGTGAGACATTTGTTAAGTGGGTTTTGCCCTTTCTGAACTCCCGCCGTTGTTAACTCAGTAACTCGGTTGTTAAGCGAATCCGGCTTCCCCATTGACTTTGCTTGTCAGACGGTTGCAAAAGGGGGGGGTCACGTGACCCCAGGACACTGCAACCATCATAAATATGAACCAGTTGCCCAGCGTCTCAATATTGATCACATGACCACGGGAATCCTGCAACCGTCGTGTGAAAAATAGTCATCGGTCACTTTTTTCAGTGCCGTTGTAACTTTGAACGGTCACTAAACAAGCTGTTGTAAGTTGAGGACCACCTGTACTACATCATTCTCTCAGGGTAGACAAAAGTGCAACGTTAACCACTGAAATCAGCGAAGGTTAGCAGCCAAACAAAGACAACCGATAAAAGAAATTTGAGTCCGGCCTAGAACTGAGAAAGCACCTCTGACTTGATCTTCCGTAGTTCTCATGAAGATCAACATAATATTAGCATTCATATCTCTGGTTTCCTAACTAGATCTACCTTGAGTGGGCCCTGGAGGTGGTGAGTGGCCCTGCCAGCAGGCGGGGCAGGGGATGGGGGTGGAGCAGGGGCGGGACCAGTTTTGGGGCACTCAATCTCTAAAAGGTTCGCCATCACTGTCTTAGGTCTACCCTAGCATCAAATTTTGAAAGCAGACTAAGCCGCATTAAGATTATCTGAGGCTGCTCAGGTATGAAGGAGAAGGCCCTGATACATATGGCAGTTTGCAGAAATAAAAATGCGGGTTATTAAATGCAAATTTCTCATTTGCAGCCGCTCCAGCCCCTGCCCCACCATCGGTGTCCACACATACCTATATTCCAAGCCAAGCCGAGCCTGCAAGCCGTCCCCCCTGGGTGACAGATGACTCCTTCTCCCAGAAGTTTGCCCCTGGGAAAAGCACCACCACCGTCACCAAGCACGTTCTGCCGAAGGGTGCTCCAGTGCCTCCATCTTCTGCCCCGCCTCCCTCCATTCCTGCGTCCGTCCAGGCTCCTGCTATCGCCCGGGGAACAATCCAAAGAGCAGAACGCTGCCCTGCCAGCAGCCGAGCTCCGCTCTGTGGACATTGTAACAGCATCATCAGGTATGTCCCTTGCATTCTTCCGTGGAAAGGAATCCTAGGGGAGTGCAGTTACATTTATGCCGGAGGCGAAAGATGGTGGGCCATCTGTAGGAGAAAAGCAGACAGAGCTGGTGGGGGCGGAGTTAAACGTACCATCAGTTTAGAGTCCTCACATCGCTGTGAGAAATTCAAGTCCAGCCACCTTGAATTCCATTGGCCCTTACCTAGCACAATTTAGTGGTGACCATTAGTTATCTAGAATCTTTTGTATAGGCTTGAGCAATAAATCTTTCTGTGCTGCAGCTTAACCTATGATCCTGATTAATTTTTTTTTCACCTGACACCTAGAGAAAAGCTTATCTTTTGTGTACAGTGTCTACTTGTATCATTCAGCAGAAAACTCTGGAAAGCAGAAACTCTGTTCAGGTCACATCCTAGATTCATGGTGGACACTGAAGATGGTTAACATAGTTTTTTCCCAATCTGATCCCTGCTAAGATCCATCTCCAACCAGTAGGGCTAATGATGTCCAACACAGCTGGTGGGATCCAGTTTGGAGAAACAAAAATGTTACTAGTGGTCGTACAGTTCTCTGTCATACATTCTCTTTCAGGTAGGAGGAAATGAATGAGTTCAGGGGTTCCTAGAAGAATGGAAGTTATTACAACGATTTACATCTTGAGGCTGTATATAATCTCCAAAAACAATGTTCTGCTCCTGCTGTAAATAGAACATTATCAGATTTTATGTTTTAAATCAGCAAAGACTCCTGTACTTGATTATTGATTTTTTTTAAAGTTTTATTAGTGAAACAAAAAAGACTACACCAAGGTTAGTACAATAAAGAAACTACATAGTGATTGAAAGAAATAAAACATAAAGGAAAAAAAGTGAGGAAAAATGAAAAGAGGATCTATACGACATCAAAATAAAGTGAATTCAATTGTTAAAACTTATTACATCTAGACCAGGGGTGTCAAACTGCCGGCCCGTGAGCCAGACGCATCATCCCAAAACCATGCCCACCCCATTGCCGGCAATGGAGAAAAAGCTCTGATACGTCACGTGATGTCATGTGACGTCGCGAGTTTGACATGCCTGATCTAGACCATATAAACACATATGGCTCCATCTTCTCAATTCTGATGATCAACTAAACTTCATCGTAATTGTTAGCATCTGGTCTCTTCTCTTCCCTTCCCTTCCCTTCCCTTCCTGCCTTCCCTTCCCTCCCTCACCTCACCTCCCCTCTGTCCTCTCCTTTCTCCCTCTCTCCTGTGCTCTCCTTCTCTCTTCTCCTCTCCTCTCTTATTCCTTGACAGAGACTTAAAACCAAGATGTTTTGTTTCTCTTCTCCTCTTCTCTTCTCTTCTCTTCTCTCCTCTTCTCTTCTCTTCCCTTCCCTCCTTCCCTCCCCTTCCCTCCCTCCCTCCCCTCCCTCCCCTCCCCTCCCCTCCCTTCCTTCCTCTCCTCTCCTCTCCTCTCCTCTCCTCTCCTGCCGTCTCCCCTCTCGTCTCTTCTCTTATTCCTTGACAGAGACTTAAAACCAAGATGTTTTTTTCCCAAGCTCCCTTCTCACAGAGTTCTTTTTAGCAAGATTTGTTGAGAAGAAATGGATGGAATTCCAAGAATGTCAGCAACTGAAAACTGTTTCCTGCTTACAACCAATGTACCCCCGTGTGCCTCAAGGAGAAGGCTTTCTGAATCTCTTCCCAACAGCATCCTGAGATGGTGAGGAGGTGGACATTTTCATCCCCTCCCTGCTGTCTGCAAAACCATCTCCTGGATCTGTATCAGTCTGGGAACCAACTCCCACAGGCAACCTCTTTTACAGCCATTGTGGCTGCCTATTGGTCACCCTGGAGAAGCAGGCCACAATTTGCACCCTACACAGAACAGATCAGACGATACCTCTGGGATACTCCTTAAGGCAGTAATGTTTCCTGGAATCACACATTTTGCAGCACAGTTGCAACACAATCCAAAGAACAGACTCCCGGTCAGGGAAAGTCCTCGACTTACGACCGGTTGGGTAGTCCTCGACTTACGACCGGTTTAGTCCTCGTCTTACGACCGGTTTAGTCCTCGACTTACGACCAGCTGGGGGGTCGCGGCATTAAAAAGGTTGAGAACCACTGCTCCAAAGCACCAGAGGGCAGGACAAGAAACAATGGTTGGAAACTGATCAAGGAGAGAAGCAACCTGGAATTAAGGAGAAACTTCCTGACAGTGAGGACAATCAACCAGTGGAACAGTTTGCCTCCAAAAATCATGGGCACTCCATCACTGGAGATTTTTAAGAAGAGGCTAGAGAGTCACTTGTCTGAGATGGTATAGGTTCTCCTGCTTGAGCTGGACTAGAAGACCTCCAAGGTCCCTTCCAGCTCTATTCTATTCTTATTCTATTCTATTCTATTCTATTCTATTCACAGTGTTGGAGCATTCACAACTTCTGGAGGCAGGTTGTTCCACTGATTAATTGTTCTCACAAGGTATCTTGGAGGTCATCTAGTCCAACCCCCTGCTCAGGCAGGAAACCCTACATCATTTCAGACAAATGGCTGTCCAGTCTCTTCTTAAAAACTTCCAGTGTTGGCGCATTCACCGCTTCTAGAGGCAGGTTGTTCCACTGATTAATTGTTCTCACTGTCAGGAAGTTTCTCCTTAGTTCTAGGTTGCTTCTCTCCTTGACCAGTTTCCATCCATGGCTTCTTGTCCTGCCTTCAGGTGCTTTGGAGAACAGGTTGACTCCCTCTTCTTTGGGGCAGCCCCTGAGATACTGGAAGACTGCTCTCGTGTCCCCCCTCGTCCTTCTCTTCATTAACCTAGACATACCCAATTCCAGCAACCGTTCCTTATGTGTTTTAGCCTCCAGTCTCCTGATCATCTTTGTTGCTTTCCTTTACACTCTTTCTAGAGTCTCAACATCTTTTTTATATCGTCATAAGAGTCAATGGAATTCAAGAGGGTTTGGATCTGGATTTTTGTGGGAATGTAATGACTCTCAGCCGATGACGCACTCAACTCTGTCTCCCCAGCTCTACCTGCTCTTCCCCTACACACATTAGTATGAATGACATGGCATTTTATACTTTTGATCGCGGAATCTAGCTCAAAAAGCTTTGAACTGGTTAGTCTTTATGGAGGTTTTTCCAGGTGTTTTTATACTAATTCCTAGGAATCGTTGGAACAGACCCAGGTGAGCAAGGGATAGAAAAAACCAGGGATAGAAGAGCAATATGTCTTTGAATGTGTTTGTTTGATTCATCCTTACAGAGGGCCCTTCTTGGTAGCCATGGGTCGCTCTTGGCACCCTGAGGAATTCAACTGTGCTTATTGCAAGACCTCCCTGGCTGATGTGGGCTTTGTGGAGGAACAGAACAGCGTCTACTGTGAGCACTGCTACGAACAGTTCTTTGCTCCGACCTGTGCCAGGTGCCACACCAAGATCATGGGGGTAAGTCCACAAGCAAACTTGGAGGAATCCTGGTCAAATCATGTCTAGGAGGAGAGCCAAGCTACCAGATATGGCAGTGGTGGCGAACCTATGGCACGGGTGCCCAGAGGCGGCACGCAGAGCCCTCTCTGTGGGCGCACGCGCGCCGTCGCCCCAGTCCTAGGCCTTCAGCTGGGTTTTATAAAACCTTTTCGCTTTAGGCCTCCGCCGCCACGTGCAAAAAAAAAAAAAAGGTTCAATCAATCAGTCAATTTCAACTTCTCGCGGGAAAAAAAAAGATCTCGCAAAGTTGGAATTGATTGGTTGAACTTTTTAGTCCCACCCAGTCTGCCGTTACCACCACAGCCACGCCCACCCAATGGGCCACGCCCACCCAATTGGCCACACTCACCCAATGGGCCACACCCAGCCAATGGGCCACGCCCAGCCAATGGGCCACGCCCACCCGGCATCCGACAATGCATAAGTGGGTTTTGGGTTGCAGTTTGGGCACTCGGTCTCTAAAAGGTTCGCCATCACCGAGATATGTGCTGCAAGAATTGGAATGACCTTCAGAGTAGTCAAGAGGTAAAGAGTAGTGAAGAGGTCAAGAAAACTCTAGTGCTCTGCTACTGTGTAATGGTCATCTACCCTCTTGAAACCCAGATCTGGTGACTCTTCGGTTGTAAAATTTCAGTTACAGTGGGCACCAGAAGGTCCCTGAAGTCTCATCACCTCCATCAGTCCATAAACATGGGCCATACCTGTTAGGAAAGGCAGAAGAATAGACTGTGGCTTAGAAATGGGAAAAAAAACTCTGCTGCTCACCAATTGGGATTCAAGGCAGATCTTGGCTTCCATCTGCTGTGAGATACGGAGCACAGACTGTCCCTTTTCCTGTATCGACTTTCCCATAAACTAAGCAGGATGACCTGCAGATTTAACCTAAACTGATTGTCTAGATCGCTATGCAAACACTCGTTCAAGTTAATTAGACTTATTAACTGTGACTCACCAGCGAGACATCTCGTTAAGGTGGAATGATCATAGGGTTTTGTCGAGAGTATGTGAGGAAAAAGGGAATGTCAGATTAAATTAGGTAACACTTTGGAAACTAGGAATTTTAAAAATGTAGAGAGAGAAGAGACCTCGTAAACAAATTGCTCAATAGGTAATTAGAGGTGGTCAGCAAAGTCCTGTACACAAATTATCCCGGTCCTCACTTTTCCCTGGTCGTTTGAATCAGCCTACTTCGATGTGGTGCGTTTAAATGACCAACACCTCCACAATTTGACATTTCTGTGTTTTAAACAGACATTTATGGGATGATCGGAAATGCATAACACAGTGCTGTGTTTCCAGTTTCCAGTTTTCTCCCATGGGGGATATCACTCCCCAATATCCTTTAGATTAAAACATCCAGCTGAAGCACACTCTTTAAAAGTTGAAATAAAGTCACATCACCTTCCTCTTCTTCCTAATGCTTTCCTGAAGTGCTTGACTATACAGGCAGTCCTTCACTCACCACCATTTGTTTAGTGCCATTTAAAGTTACAATGGCACTGAAAAAAAGTGACTTATGACTGTATTTTCACACTTACGACCGTTGCGGTATTCCCATGATCGTGGGATCAAAATTTGAATGCTTGGCAACTGGCTCATATTTATGATGGTTGCAGCATCCTGGGGTAATGTGATCACCTTTTGTGACCTTCTGACAAGCAAACCAATGGAGAAGTCAAATTCAATCGATCAATCAGAGCTGGAAGGGACCTTGGAGGTCTTCTAGTCCAGCCCCCTGCTCAAACAGGAGAACCTATACCATTTCAGACAAGTGATTGTCTAGTCCAGGGGTAGGGAACCTTGGCTCTTTTATGACTTGTGGACTTCAATACCGAGAATTCCTGAACCAGCCATGCTGATGACTCAAGAATTCTGGGAGTTGAAGTCCACAAGTCATAAAAGAGCCAAGGTTCCCTACCCTTGGTCTAGTCTCTTCTTAAAAACCTCCAGTGATGGAGCACCCACAACTTCTGAAGGCAGCTTCTGTTCCACTGGTTAATTGTCCTCGCTGTTAGGAAGTTTCTCCTTAGTTCCAGGTTGCTTCTCTCCTTGGTTAGTTTCCATCCGTTGCTTCTTGTCTTGCCTTGTTAACAAATGCAGTGATTCCCTTAAGAACTGTGGCAAGAAAGGTCACAAAATGGACAAAACCCACTTAGCAATTATCTCGCTTCGCAACCAAAATGTCGGGCTCAGTTGTGGTTGTAAGACAAGGACCACCTGAAATCTCAATGAACCGTAGACAGCTCAGCTGCTTCACTGGGCATGATAAAAGTTGATGTCCACCATATCTGAAGGACATCTTGTGATGCCCTACTACAGTGATGGCGAACCTTTTAGAGACCGAATGCCCCAAAACTGGCCCCACCCCCTGCTCCACCCCCTGCCGCACCCTGCTCTGCCCCCATCCCCCGCCTCGCCTGCCCACAGGACCACTCACTGCCTCCAGGGCCCACCACAGATCACCCAGGCAGCCCAGCAGTGCTATGGCGGCCACACCCTTTGCCCGCCCCCCAACTGCATGATGGGGTGTGAGGGCAGAGTCTTGTCTATGCTGCCTGGCTGCCATGTTCTTGGCTGCGCTGCTCCATGTGGGCCACGCTTGGGGGCGACTCTCCTTCAGGAGGGCTGCTGGAGAGGAGGGGTTCACGGGAAGAGGCAAGGCTGGGGCAACGGCATGTGCCCACAGAGAGGGCTCCGAGTGCTGCCTCTGACACCCGTGCCATAGGTTCGCCACCACTGCCCTACTACAACGACCGACAGGAATTCCACCTGAGTTGCTGAGATATTATTTTGTCTTGATCACTGAGTGAGTTAGTTGGGATAAGAGCTAGCCTTCCCCGTGTTCCTTTCCCCCCCAAAGGAGGACATTTTTTGGCAAAATCACCCACCTCTCTTTCTCTTCCAGGAAGTGATGCATGCATTGAGGCAAACGTGGCATACCACTTGCTTCGTCTGCGCTGCCTGTCGGAAACCGTTTGGAAACAGCCTCTTCCACATGGAGGATGGAGAGCCCTACTGTGAGAAAGGTGCTGCAAGGTTCCTTGATCCGTTGATAGCCTTGGATCTTTCCAGAGAAAGAACCCTGTGTTTGGAAGCCCCCTCCTTTTTCTACCGCTTTCGTTCATGCTTGCTTCTTGCCAGCCTTTGCCAGGTGGTCTTCCTGTTCGGCCATGTTCTGTTAGGGATGACTTCAAAAACGCAAATCTGCATCCTGCTTTAATCTCCTCTTTTTCTTCTTTTGCTCGTTCCCTTTCCCGAATTTTTGCAAGACTGTGGGAAGTCAGCCCCCCCCAGAGAAGGAAATATTAAAAAGGCAGGAAAATATATTTCCTCAAAGGATCTTAAAGAGGCAGAAAAGCATGCCCAATTTTCTTAATAGCCCCAAATCTCCCTCCCCCAAGCAGAAACCAGCTGTATAGAAATGCAGATGTAAACCATTCAGGAAGATTGAAGTTAAAAGATTAAGAAGTCATCTAAAATCTACATACCCCACCCAGACTCTAAGACAGGACATAATAGGATTAACACAGAGATATCGAAGGGCACACTCAGACTCAGGTCAAAGTTCATGCCACAGGAACAACTCCAAACAAAAGGCTCCAGAGGGTATAAAAACCCACTCCCTACATGTGCTCCTTCCTTGTCTTTTCTGCCAGGGCCATCTTTCTGTCTGGCTCTCCTCTTCAATAAACTGCAACCTTCTTTCTAAAGCAGTCGCCATGTTTATTCCCAGCTTGGACTGAACCACAATGAAGACTTTTCTTTCAACAGGACTTTGAGCTTTTTTTTTTTTTTTGAGGTCCTCTTTGGTTTGCGGCGACTTTTAAAAGCAACTGCTAGTTTGAGTTCACAGTCCTAACATAGATACTTTCCAGGAGCACAGTGTGAAGTAGAGGAAACTTTGATTCCCAGAAACTAATTTGACGTGGCCGTGCAATTTGCTTGACAGTAATATGCCACTCTCTTACTCCTGCCATTTTTTTTTCAACTTCTTTAGATTCAGTCCCGACATTTCCTCCAAGACTCAATCTTGTTTGGGGTCTTTTTTTATTTATTTGTTTTTGTTTTTGCAAACAGCCGATCGGCTTCCATCTGCTTGGGCATTCCTAAGGAGATAAAGAGATAAAAAGGGGGAAAAAAATAAGGATATTTGGGTAAGGAAAAAAAAAAGATCCTTCAGTTAAAAATCAAAGCGTCCCAAATCTGGAGATTTAAAAAAAAAGTAATTATTGCTCTAGCATCGCTGATATTTGGTGCAGAGGAAGAAGCTTATAATACATAATATTCATTTTATAAATGGTTGCATTCGCAGCCTGGGCTCTGGCATTGCTTCATGTCAGAATGCCTCAGTTGATCATGTTTAGTCTTGCCCTCCTTCCCACGAATTCCCCGTGCAACCTTATTTGCTTTCATAGTTGCGAAATGCTCTAAGGCTGGTCCCCCCTTGTCGTCTGTAAGACAGTAGGATTCGAAACTAGTTCTTCCTGCTCCTAGTCTAATGCTCCAAATATTGTGCCACACCAGGGGAGTCAACCCATTTCAAACACCATTCTCACAAAGCTGAAGAGGAAGAGAAGCAAAAATAAACCCGCAATTTTGCATCTCATCAAAGAAGGCATTAAAAAAATCCACTGTTGTCTTTTTGTTCCCAAAACTAAATGTGCATGTCTATGACATCACCGGAAATCAAGAAAGGAGTTAATATATTTCTCCTAGTACTCTTTATGTTGTAAACCTCATTTTTTTTCTCTTTGGTGTGCATTCTTCTAGACTACGTTGCCTTGTTCAGTACCAAATGTCACGGATGCGACTTCCCCGTTGAAGCTGGAGACAAGTTCATTGAAGCCCTTGGTCACACCTGGCATGATACGTGCTTCATTTGCGCTGTAGGTATCTTCCCAAGGCTGGTGGGTGGGTCACAACATGTCACACATGAACATAGATACCCGAGAGAGGGTCTAGGGCAGGGGTGTCAAACTCAATTTTATTGAGGGCCGCATCAGCATTGTGGTTTCCCTTGGGGGGGGGCGGATGGGTGTGGCCAGTGTGGGTGTGGCCTACTGGGTGGGCGTGGATGGAGTGAGGTGGGTGTGGTTTCGGCAGGCAGCGGGGCGCTCTCCTCACAGCGCCGAGAGGTTGAGCCGGGCGGTACGAAGCTCGCCAGCTTTGCACATTGCTGCCTGCTGAAACTGGGCAGGCTGGGGGCTAGGCAGCATTGCACTTCTCATCAGATTCACACCACCTGGCTCAGCTCGTGGCACTGTGAGGAGAGCGCCCCTCTGCCTGCCAAAATGTCTCCCCTGGAGCCCATCAAGCTGGATATGTGAAGTAGGCGAGGGTCATTTGCTGGCCACTTCCAGGTGATGGTGCATTTCTTCATTCCTCACAAAGGGTGACACCTCCCCAGCATGCACCCAGGGGGCGGGGGCGACGTGGCAGGGGCTGGTTCCTCACTGTTTCCAGACAGCCTTGTGGAGCTAAGACTGAATGTGTTTCAGCATAGATGGCCACCACAAAATTGTACATTGGCTCCCAGCTGGCCTGGGCCAGGGCCAAGGAAACAGGGGTCATTCCATCATTGTTTCCAGGATGGCTTTGCAGGCCACATGAAACCACTTCAGGGGCAGCATCCGGCCCCCGGGCCTTGTGTTTGACATGTCTGGTCTAAGGGCCCTCTAAAGGTGTTATACTAAAACAAACACCTTGTGTAGGCATGGCCAACCTGTTAGGGACAAGCGATCATATTAGATGTTCTTCAAACCACGAAGAAGAAACCATTCTGGTTTCTGGTTCTTCTTTGGAAGCTCACAGGAGGTAGATCTGCATCATCTTCAGACCTCAGTTTGGTAGACCATTTTAGAAAGAAACAACTGACTGCCTCAAAACCCAAATTGTTTCGTGTGTTGAATATCAAGGATGTTCCTTGAGGCAAGTCAGCCATTTCCTAAAGAAACTGAATGAAGGAATCGTATCAACCATGCGTGCAAATCTCTCTCTTTCTCTCATTGCTTGAATCAGTAACGGGGGGCTCAGCACATCTTACGTTAGATAGCTCTAAGTTTGCCGATTCTGCTGAACAGACTGAAATGTAGGGACTCAGAATCCCATCCGCTTTGACGCAATTCCCCGTCTTCCTGTGTCTTTCGTTTGCAGGTCTGCCATGTCAATTTGGAAGGTCAACCGTTTTATTCGAAGAAAGATAAACCTCTATGCAAGAAGCACGCCCACGCCATCAACGTCTAAAGAAAGATCTGGAAGGGAATCACGAAGTAAAAAAAAAAGTGTGGAGGTTGATTCAACAAATTAAATATAGATCACTGTGGATTTTTGAGGATAGGGAAGGGAAAGGGGAGGTCACAAAATTATGGACACTTTGAATTATGCTTTTGTATGTGCAGATCTGTTTCTGGCACACAAAAGGGTGAACAAAATATTCGTAGCTTCACAGCCAACCTGGAAATGCAAATGCTTGAGCAAAATGAACAAAATAAGGGGGCAGTTTCTATGTAAGCATATTGACTAGGGTAGCCTTAGCGTAGGAGAACCCATTAGTGTTAAAAAAAAGAAAAGAAATAGAATCCTTTCTTAGTATTAGAACACAGCTCAAAAGTGCCAAATTATCCAACGTAACTTAGAGTCCATTGTGATGAGTCAATGAAGTATTCCTCACCAAGGCAACAGAAATATATTCCATTGTTATATGTCGTGACTCTTCTTCACATTACTTAGATGTGGCATAACTTTTAGGTGAAAAAGAAAATTGTAGGCTAGATAGAATTAGCTAAAAAGCATGCCATGGACTGACCCAATCAAAGCTTGAATCCAAACACAACTTAAAAAAAAAAACCCTCTGGTAATTGTTGCTAATTACCAGGTTTTCTTGTATATAGGTGTGGTTTTCCTGGATTAAAAAAAAATGTGCTTTTTCCAAGCTGGTAAACTTTGGGGATAATATCAGCCCCATCCTGAATCTTCTCATCAAGGACACAGTTGTGGCAATTGTGAATGGCTCTTCCTAAGTCTCATTCATAGATTGGCTACATCCCCCGAGAGTAGAACGGTTAAAAAAGTGATTTTCAAAGGACTCTGGAGGTGTGTGGACCTTGAGATTCTGATCGTTGGTAGGGAAGTTGGGCAAAATGATGAGAAGGGTTGCATGGAAGAGTAAAGAGTTAACTCAGAGTATCAGTTGTCCTCCATCTGCCATTGTGGAAGGAAGGAGAAAGTGTCGGGTTGTAGGTTCACCGGGGCATGGTCACCCCATTATTAAGCCAACTGACCAAGAGGGAAACACTCATGTAAGAAATTTCTCCAAGGATGAGGCCCTCCAGTTTGGTTGAGATGACTTGCAACTGGTAGTAGAAGCTGTAGTCTTTGGCTATCTGGAAGTCAACTCTTCGTTTTCCATTTCTGACTCTTTGCCAACTGTTGGAGGACAATAATCCATCACCAACACTTCTTTTGAGTTCTTGAAAGCTCTTACTCATAATAGCAGTAATAGGGAAGGGGGTAATTTGTTTTTGTCGATGGTTAGGGAAAGCTACCTTATAATTGTAGCTACAAAAAGATAAAGAGACCAATTGGGGGTGGGGGATAGCCAGATGATTATTATTATTTTTAATTTCCTTGCTTTCAAGAATGTGACATTTCGTTTGGTGAAATCTGGTGCCATTCACCGGACAGGCCTTGAATGAGAGACTTGCAATTCTTTAAAGACGGCGTCTCTAAAGTGTGGTTGTGTTTGCTGCTACAGGGAAAACCTTGAGTAGTTTTCCTTTTTCTTTTTTTTTAAAAAAAAGTTTTTGAACAAATGCTATTTAGGATTTGTGCAAGTATTTACTTTTTGAAGCTTTTGTCCTTTTGTGATGGGCAGCCTGTATTTATTCTGGCTAGCATTTGGGTATTTAATCCTTGAGCATCAGGTAATTGTTTATATGTTGAAGCCACTGGCTTATATCTGCTCAGATAAGCATCCTAAATTTAGACACAGAAGAAGTCGCTTTCTGTCAACAGTGTTAAGCACTCATTTCAACGGACAACACTGTCATAAAGAAAAAACCGTTTACACTAGTAGAATATGTTCCAGTGTGGAAGCTTATTATTTCTTATTTAAAATCATGTACAATATTTATTATTCATTTGGAAAAAAAAAACAAGAGGGAAGAAGAAGAAGCAGTTTGATTTTCATAATGTTTGCTGTTTGCCTGGAATCCCTGCCTTACCCAGGCTAAAGGCTAAAATAAAAGCTGTATTATAACCAAGGCTGCTTCTCCAAATTCTATGCTTTATTATTTATCCCTTTTGGATTCTGTAGAAGAACAAAATATGCTTTATCGATGCGCTGGCATTAACTGGATTTTAAAATGCTTAACCAGAATTGAGCCCAGTCCCTCATTGCTTGCCTTTTGGCAAAGAATGGAACACACCGTACAATATTTATTTTTCTGCATATAACTTTTTTTTTCCCAGTCCCTGCCTTGGAGAGTTAAGCAAATCTGACCTCTTGTTTATGCATATCTGTAGCACTTTAATCCTTGCTTATCTTGTCAATGTAACAAGGAAGGCACAAACATGTCGTTCAGAATTATTCTTAACAGAATCTGCAGAATTTCGGTCAAACGTTTTATTTATTTGTTTTTACATTTCCAAGCTAGTAACCTAGTGCAAAATGCCGGCAATAGCACAGCTCCCTATAATCTGAGGAGTCAACAAAGTACAGAGATAGATTCTGATTCAAATAATCTTCAGCTGGTTAAGTCCACCAGTAACTCCAAGAGGCAATTCCATTTACGGGGTCCAGCAAAAGGATAGTCAGCTATGGATGGCGAGCTTCCCGCACGAAGATAGCACAACATTATTTATTGAAAACATCCCTGCATGGCATTAAGCCATAAAAGGGATCAGCTTTAGTTTAATACCTCTCGTGGTGGGAACCTACTCATTGTGGTTATTCCGTTCTGACGTATTCACCAGACCATAGTTAAAGAGCAATGGCATAGCACAGCATTGGATCCATCCATCAACACATTTTAGGGACTGTTCTGATGCTGTAGATGCGGTATGGTTATTATCTCCTCTGGGGTAGGCCTACTGCTAATATCTAGATCAGTGGTTCTCAACCTGTGGGTCGGGACCCCATTTGGGGTCGATCGACCATTTCACGGGGGTCGCCAAGCAAGGCTGTCCGCCATTTTTTTTGTCTGCCATTTGTTTTGTCCGCCATTTTTCCCCCTTTTCCGGTGGGTGCCTTACCTCCCTTGGGCTGGGCCAGCTGGTGGTCGGCCTGCTCCGTCTCTGCCGCTTGCCAGCTACGCCTCGGCCAGCGCAGGGGGCGGAACCACACATGCGCGGCGCTCCTGGGCAGGGAAAGTCCTCGACTTACAACCGGTTGGGTAGTCCTCGACTTACGACCGGTTTAGTCCTTGAATTACGACCGGTTTAGTCCTCGACTTACGACCGGTTGGGGTCGCGGCATTAAAAAGGTTGAGAACCACTGCTTTAAGGGGCAAGCACTCCAAAACAGTATTCTCTTAACTTGAACAGTTTCTAAGCACCGTTGTAAAGAAAGGAACCCATGCTTTAAAGATCTTATGTGATATAGTTTCCCTGTCAGAATATGAAAAAAAAAATTGCATTCTTAGTCTCCAAATGAGAGAAGTTGTTAGAGCAAAGTAATTGCTCCAGATTAGGTCTCTACTCCATTCAGCAAGGCTGTTCATATTTGACATTGGGCTGCTTAGTATATTTCCTTATGATCAAATTTTATTTGAGTAGAATCTCATACATCTATCCTTACAAACTTTTTTTTTAATTATACAGAACAGTAGTTCAGGGCAAATAGTAAATTCATTGTTCTACAACAGGAGAAACACTGGGAGGGGGGAGAGGGCTACCTACCAAGTTTATCTTTATGACAGCTATAGCAATTATCATCGTTTATGCTAAACTAAACTTGTTATCCTTTGGTTCCACTTTTTTTTTTCAACCTTTCGCCTTTTTCTTCCGAATACTGTACCTGTGAATGACCAAATAATAACATTTGCCCGTTAACTTATTCAGAGGATTTGATAGGTTATATCAGTGACATCCAACTCTAATGATGATTAGATTTTTTTAATCACCTTAAGAAGAAAGCAAATCCATTGAAATCAAGAGAGTTTTGTTGTAACAGACCCATTGAAACACGGTCCTACTTATTGTAGCTAATATTTTCGGTCTAGCTGAAAATGGGGAGAAGACGGTTTAAAGCTTTTGGGGCTTAACCCAGACCCTACTGAATTTTGTGACAAAAACTCTGATTAATTTGTGGCTGGCCTTCCATCTTCCATTTGGCCTTAAGACAATGCATTTTGCTTAAATCCTAATTCTGAAAGGAAGTCTATCACAACTAATTAATCATTGCAATCTAAAAATGTATCTATTTATTTATCTATCTATCTTCTACCTATCATCCTTCTATCCATCCATGAAATTCCTTTGGTCCTTCATGGGTCAGTAGCTTGAGTGATATACTCTATTTAAAGCTTTCTTTGTATTCAGTGCTAAAACACAAAATAATTTTGGGACTCAGCTCAGATAGGATGTCCCTATAATAGATGTTATTTTTTTAAACAAAGTTATTAACCTCTGTGATTGAGTGATTTGCAGTCCTGTTAAGCTTTTCCTCTGATTCTTTTTTTTTAACCTGTACGGAAATATTGATACGATACCACAAGTGACCTTACTTTTAAATAAGGTTTGAAGCAGATCACCCAGGAGGTTTTTTTTCCCCCAGCTGCTCAGCACAAAGTGTGTTTATTCATGAAGTGTGAGTTGATATATCTTGCATGGATTATCGGTGCCGACACTAATAAACTATTTTTTAAAAGCATGACCGTTCTTTCCTGAATTTATGCGAGAGAAGAAAGAATGTTCAACAGCCAGAAATACTCTTGTCAAATAAACATCTTCTTTGGAATCCGAAGCGTCAAAAGTAGAATTTGTACACTTTCTTAAAAGAACACTTTCTTGTTTTGCAGTTCAACTAGGTCTTCTCCCTGATCTTGTTCAGTGCTAAAAGAGAGCAGGATGAACAAATGTGTGGAATTTCCTACAAAGAAAGAAAGCTATATTTGAAATCTAATGCAGAATGCAATGCAGAAAGGAGTGGGGTTTGAGAGAGGAGGAGGAGGAGGAGGAGGAGGAGGAGAAGGAGAAGGAGAAGGAGAAGGAGAAGGAGAAGGAGAAGGAGAAGGAGAAGCAGAAGGAGAAGGAGAAGGAGAAGGAGAAGGAGAAGGAGAAGGAGAAAAAGATGTTGAGACTCTAGAAAGAGTACAGAGAAGAGCGACAAAGATGATTAAGGGACTGGAGGCTAAAACATATAAGGAACGGCTGCTGGAATTGGGTATGTCTAGTTTAATGAAGAGAAGGACGAGGGGGGACATGATAGCAGTCTTCCAATATCTCAGGGGCTGCCCCAAAGAAGAGGGAGTCAAGCTATTCTCCAAAGCACCTGAAAGCAGGACAAGAAGCAACTTCCTGACAGTTAGAACAATTAACCAGTGGAACAACCTGCCTCCAGAAGC